CGTACGACATGATCTGCGCTTCGGCCAGGAATGAAGTCTTGTCGGTTGATCGGACGGACTTGATGGCGACCGTTGTCGTTCCTCGTAGTCGTCCCTATATATCGGTGGGCGCCCAGTCATCAGCCTTGGCTGCAACAAACGTATGAGGCGGGAGGAGAGCAAAGGTCACCGTACCTCCCACACGTCGCCGAATGCGCCCACTCCCAACTTATTCACAAAGGAGAGGTCGTTTTGACTGATCGTGGCCTTCACCGAATCTTCTGCATGAATGGAAGGTTGAGAGTTGAGAGTTAGGGCCGGCATAACGGAAAAGAAAGAAAGGAAGAAAGCTCTTGAATCTGCGCTCGTACTTCGCGGAGTCGCCGGGACTCGCTGCATATAATTGTACACTGCCAATCGGACGGAAAGAGGCAGACCCAGTTCCTGTAGGGCGCCAGAGCCATCATTAGATGATGGCCGTAAAAGACTACAAGACATGGGGTGACGAACGAACCTGAAGGTCATCCTTGGTGAGGATTTGCAACACCTCGAACGAAATATTCGCGTCTGAAAATCTTCTCTCCCTCGCGGCCCAAGTTGAGGCTGCTCACCATCTCCCCGATTCTTGGGTCGACCTCGCTCGACTCTGTAACTGCACGCGTTGAAAAGGAAAGAGAAGAGAAGCGGTGTGAGCAACTGCACCACGCAGCACGCACGCACGCACGCACAGTAATGGAGAAACGTGTAAACAGTGGTACCTGTAAAGTAGCCACTCTTGCTGTCGGGAAGGAGAAGGAGCGGCGATGGCAGGAGGATCAGGGTGTGCCGAGGACCCACCGCTACGTGTAGCGGCTTCGCACTCGCCCTCGTGCCTTCCAATGGTCGCGGCAAGTCGTGCGACGCGTTCTTGCTCATCCCCGCTGCAACGGCAAACGTTCCATAGCAGAGAGTCAGCTGAAAAGGTCGCAGCCTGGTGCGTTGGTTGACGGGGCCGTACTTGGTACTCGGCCGGAACCAAACGCGTAGATGGTGCCGACATCGCTCACTGCGACCGAATGCCTCTCGCCCGCACCCACAAACTCAATGTTGACGCTGGCGAGCGCATCAATCTTGACCGCATCCCACACCGCCTTCTTGTGACCCTTGCCCAGCCCTGCAGAATAAAGGAGACATTGAAGAAGAAGAAGAAGAAGCACGACGTGAGATAGAGGGTACGTGTAGACAGTAAAGAGGGAGCACGCAAAGACGGTACCAAGGCAGCCCGTGCGATTCTTGCCCATTCCGTAGACCAGCCCGTCGGTGGTCAGCAGAAGCGTGTGCTTCATGCCCACGGCAATGCTCTTCATCTTCAGGTCGCTGACCGAGCCGATCCGCCGGGGAGTCACCACCACGTTTCGCTTTTCGTTCGATGCTGAGTTAGAAAGAAAACGAGTCAACATTAAACCCGCGTTGAGGGAGTGTGGCGAGGCCTGAGAGTACCTCGAGAAGAAAGCCACAGATAGCTCTTGGAGAGGTTGTTGTGGCCGAGCCACGGGCCATTGACCCCGAAGGAGTAGGCCCTTCCGTCGTGGTCGATCGCGAAGCTTTGGTTGTAGCCCGCGGCGATGTAGGCGATCAGGCTGCGCGTGCCGACTGGCGTAGGTGCGTGGTGATCCTCGAGACTATCCACGCCCAAGGCCCCGTACGCTCCCTGCCGATAGCGCCCACAACAAGCAATCAGCGCCCAAGCCCACAGCCCAACTCGGCCCTCATTGGGTGCCCGTACCAAACCAAAGGCAAACACTGCACCGCTCGCTGCAAGTCATGAACAGTAAAGAGAGCGTGAGCATTAGCAAAACAGTGGGGCAAGGGCGCCAATAACACCTGGTTATTGGTCAGATACTTGGCGCACCCGTAAGCATGAGGCTGTGTTGCTCTCCAACCGCCACCTGCTTGATCACCTTCGTTTCGGGAAGGGAAACCAGCTTGGCTGTGTGGCAATTTTCCTCGTTGCCATGACCCAGCTTGCCGTGTTGCCCTGCAAGGCACAGATTTAGAGTGCCGTGCTGTGCCGGTCCCAACAGGAAGGAGGAGGTGGCTCGCTTGGTGCACGTACCATCACCCACGCTGTAAACGCTTCCATTCTCTGCAGATTGACGAAGAGATTAAATGAGCCGATGCTGCAAATTTCAAATAGATAGATATGAGGTCGCACGTGTGAGAAAGAGGGCGTGGCTCGTGCCCAAGGCGATGTGGGCTACGCGCAGGCCAGGCAAAGGGAAAGGTTGCGGCGAAGGCCACCTCCCCTCCTGGCCCAGCAAGGCGCCTGCACAACCCCAACCCAGCACCGTTCCATCCTCTGCACGCCGTCCACGTGCATCTTGATTAGCTCAATCGAGCTGTGCCGAGATGCAGGCAAGAATGAGAACGAAGAGTGAATTGTCGAACCTGCAATGGCGAGGGAGGAGTTCGGGCCAGCCACAAGGGCCGCGAGCTGGGTGCCCGTGCACTCTACTCGCTCAGCTTCTTGATGTGTGCCTGTCGCGAAGGAGTAGAGGAATCGTTGCCGCCTCCCCGACGCAGGGGAGCTCACGCAGGCCATGCAGCTGTAGTGCTCTCTCTCCACCTCCCCTTCTTCCAGACTATTCTGCAACGTAATCGTAAAATCGCCCTCAACAATTTAATCGATCAATCCCCCTGTGTCTCGGCAGCCTGCTCCTTTTGCAATGCTGTGTCGCTCGCGGGTACCTCGTATTCGAGGAGGTCGTCATTGTCTTGTAGTGCCTCGCTTCCCGCAACCCTGCAGGAACCGGGGGCGGTTGGCAAGGCATGACGTCATTCCTTTCCCAGGTGTCCCTGCCCCAGAGCCCTGATAAGGTCAAAACCGGGTGTTGTAGGCCACCCAACTTGGCTCGACGTCGCGGCTCTCACCACAGACAAAGCCTAGGCGATTGGCGTTGGCGAAGTGTGTTATGGGCTGTGCAGCGGTCGATGACGTGTGTCCTGGCTCGTTCGCGGGGCTCGAAGCGGAGGCGCTGGGTTGCGTCGCATGGTCTAGGCGGCTGTCTTGTTGCGCGAGCTGGAGCGGGCTGCGAGCGACAGTTCTTGCAACAGGTCGTCGAGTCGTGCCTCGAGCTGGGCGAAGCCGTACGCGTCGCCGCCTCCACGCTCGGCCTCTTCCGCCTCTTCGTCGTCTTCGCAAAGGGAGCGTAGGTAGGCCGAGACGCGGGGTCCGTTGGCGGGATCGGCAGCGGCCAGGTCCAGCGGGGTGGAGCCCTTGCGGTTGGGCTTGCCCAGGGCTTGGGCGAGGTGGCGCCGGGCCTCGTCGGCCGAAAAGCCCAGAACGTCTGGGTAGACGCGTCGCAGCGCCACCGCAAATAGCGCCAAGCACTCCAGCCTCCCAATTACTGCCGCCAAGTGCCAAACACTGACGTGTGCGTGTGCGGTACGATGTGTGCGGCGTGTGTCGTGTCGTGTTAGCGTGCATACAAGATAGAACGGGAACAAAAGGAGGCGCACGTGTTGCGGGTGTAGTCCTCACAGAGCAGGAGGGTCTGCAGTGCAATCTTGGCGCGGTCGGAAGTCCTCTCGCTGCACTCGCGCTTCGCCTTCCGTAGATCCTTGACGAGCAGCTTGGCGCAGGCCTTCACCGGCGCGCAGGCCACGAAGCTCGCCATCTTCGTGAAGTTGAGCGGCGTCAGCGGGAAGCGGTACAGGGCGTCCTCCCCGCTCACCTCCGCGCCCTGCGCGATCGTCACCGGCTGGCTGGTGGCCCACTCCACGTAGCTGTCGGCCAGCTTGCGCAGGTAGACGAACCGGTACCGACCCTCCCGCCTGTAGGGCACCGGGAAGACCACCTCGCCCTGGCCCGTGGCCTCGTTGACCGACGTGCTGTCCTGCAGGAGGACTCGGGCCTCGTCGGCGTGCGGCTGATGATGACTGTCGCCAGCGCCGTCGCTTTCGGCGCGCAGCGCGATGCAGTCGCCGTTGATGGCGCGCGAGGTCCACCATGCAGGGCAGCGCCACTTGACCACGACCAGCTTCTCCTGCTTCTCACGCAGCTCGATCTTGTGCGTGGGGGACATCACGCTCCACTCTTCGTTGAGCTTGACTCGCCGCTCCTCCCTGCACTGACGCATGTAATCGTCCAGACTCTGCGACTCTGACGCGCGGGCGAGCTGGGCGAAGCGGCTGTAGCGGCCGGCCGGATCGTTGCGCACCACCGCCGCCGTATCGCACACTACGAAGCCCGGAAACATGCGCCGCGCGCGCATGCCGTCGGGCAGGGCGAGCCGCCGCGCGAGGTAGGTGAAGTCGCCGCCCAGGTAGTGGACCTCGCCCTCCTCGGTGAGTACCTGCGTCCACGCCCGATCGCAGCTGATCGCCAGCGCGCGCGTGTCCGGCTTGCCGGTGGACAGGTCGAGCTGGTGGGGCGGCCGCACTACTGAGGCGTCAAAGGTCGACGTGATCGAGTACAGGAAGTCGTCGATGCCGCGGCCGTGGGCGGGGTGCTCGCCAAAGGCCAGCACGCGGCCATCGTCGGTGAGCAGCGCGGCGAACTGCGATCCGACCGCCACGTCGACAATGAAGTGGTCCATGGCCGAGTCCAGCCGGATCGGCCGGTCGACGTAGCGCTCCTGGGTGAGCTTGCGCACGAAGACCTCCGTGACCGTCGGGCTGTGGGACGAGCTGGTGGTCTGCACAATGTCGTCGGGCTGGGGCATGACACCCCACATGTAGACGAAGCCCAGCCGGTCGACCGCCGCGTAGGTGCGGCCGCAGGCGGACACCGATACGATGGGCGCGTCGGAGAAGCGGACCCGGTAGGGCGTCGCGACGGACTCCTCCTCGCCCGTTGCCTCGTTCTCGCGGTAGCCCCACTGCCACACCTCGCCGTCCTTGGTGAGGGCCAGCGACGCATTGGCCGCCGCGCAGACCTGCGTGACCAGCTTGGTACGGAGCGACTCGAGTGCGATGGGCGTGAGCGCGTCGGTCAGGTCGCCGTTGCCGAGCTCGCCGTATTTGCCGCCTCCCTAAGGACCACAGAGTCGGAGTTAGCCGATTTTAGCTCCTATGTGTGAGCGTACTACGTGTGTCACTCATCGTCGCGTGTACCCAGGTATAGACGACACCGGTGGCGGATATGGCGAGCGCATGGACACTGCCCTTCAGGTAGAAGATCTCTGGGTGGTCCTTGGGATCGTTGGTGATGCTGATCTGTACGATCTTCTTGCCGGCGAGACCTGCAGGAACGTCACCCATGGTTCGGGCGAGTCGGAACATAAAAGAGCCGCCATGGCGAGGACTAAGGTGCTACACACCGAAGATCTCGGTGGGCGTCTTTCGTTCCTCGGTGTCGCCCAGGCCAAGCTGACCAAACGTGTTATCGCCCTGCCATGGTAGTCGTGAGGCGTAAAGTGGGTGAGCGAAAAGACGGAGAACATAAATCTGCGTGCGTGCGAAACTCACCCAGGCAAAGACGCGGTTGTCGGAGGTCAGAAGGAGCGTGGAACTGGGCGAGCAGGCCACCTGCTCGACGCGCATGCGGGGCATCAGGTCCGAGATATCCTGCACTACGCGCGGCTTGTGGATGCATGGCAGCGACTTGTCCTGCAGCGGTTCGGAGGCGCTCGCCCTCAACCACCCATACACCAGCTCTGCACCAGTTGGGTGGTTGGCATCAGCTCAGGCACAACATGACACGCGACACGCGCCAGGACACATGGCACAATGAAAGCAGTCATACCTTTCTCATCGCCAGCGCGCACGAGCAAAGGGAGGGAGCAGTGCTGCACGTCGACGCCCTGATTGGTGCGTAGGGCCAAGACGAAGTGGTAGACGCCCGGCTCGAACGGCGCCGTGTCGACGTCGAACTGGCCGCGATAGTCCCAGCGCCGGTGGAACCACGACAGGATGAACATGCGCTGGTCGGTCCCCGCTTCGAGTCGCGCTTTCGCCTCCTGCCGTTTGAGGTCCTCCTCGTCGTAGGTCACCAGCATCCGCGAGTGCTTGGTCAGCTCTGCGAAAACGCACAACGGTGCGACCTGCCACCCAAACCAATTTCATATCAACACAGTGTTGCTCCAGAGTCTGGCTGATTCTGGTGGTGATGATGGATGATGACGATGACGGTGATGACGTACATCGGAAAGGCGTCGCCGGTTGAGGTCTTCCTGGCGGAGATTCCGGTAGACAAGGACGCACAGGTGCTCGCGGTTGGCGAGGGTGATCTTGGTGCGCCACGTTACCGGGAAGACGTTCCCGCGCACCACGTCGAGGGGCAGCTTGAGATGGAAGTCCTCTGTGTTGTGTGGCCCAAAGCACAATCGGAGTGGTCAGGAGAGGCAGGCAGTCGACACGGCGAAAAGAGGGCTGCAAGTGAGGGCCTAAGCGAACGTACTGGTGACGCGGTGGTAGCGCGGCGCCATGATCTCGCCCGTGGGTCCGGCCAAATCGCTGAAGAACGACGTCACAAGGGTATCGCTCAACTCGTACGTAGTCCCCTCCTTACCAAAATTCTCAACTGTACACACGAACCAACGCACGAACCACCGCACACGAACCACCGCACGCGCACACGCACACATGTGTGAGAGCTCGACTTTTGGGTCCAGCGGAGTACTGCATACCTTGCATGCACCACTCGCGAACTTCGTCCTGCTCGGGGCCGGCGTTGCTGATGTAGGCGCTCATCTGGTGGATGTAGCCGTACTGCAGGAGGATTGTGAGCGGCAGCGGCAGGACCCGCCCGAAGTGCTCCCTGCGCAGCTCCTCGTTGCCGGCGAAGGGCACTTCCTTCCACGCGTCGGCGAATCGCGCGGAGTAGAGTAGCAGCTGTCGCGTGCGCTCCTTGTTGGTCATGCTCTTGGCGGCGGTGGTGGCGCTCATGTAGATAAGGGTCACTAGCTTGTTGAGCACGACGAGCGCGATTGGGCTGGGCAGCGGCTTGGTGGTCATGAGATCGTTGCGCATGGTGGCCTGGGTGGAGAACATTCGCTCGTTGAACGGGCGGAGGTGGACGTAGCTCTCCTTTTTGTCGATGCCCATCAGCCTGCTCAGCACAAATCACATATTAATATATCCGCACGCACGCACGCACGCACGCACGCACGCACGCACGCACGCACGCACGCACGCACGCACGACACGGCCAACAGTGGTTACCTGTCCAAGCCGTTCAGTGCGGCGCAGTAGTACATCTTGGCCATCTCGAAGTCGTCGAGGCGGTTGTACACATCGCCGGCCGTGAGGGACAGCAGGATCATGGCCTCCAGCGAACATGACGAGCCCCCCTCATCGTCGCCGCCTTGCCCAAGCTTGCCCTGGGTGAGGAGGGTGAACGCCTGAGCGCAGCAGTTCTTGGCCTTGTCGAGGCTGCCGCAGCGGACGTAGGCGTCGGCCAGCTTGACCAGTCGCAGGATGCGGTGAAGGCTCTTATTGCCGTAGACGCTGGCCGTGAGTCGCTCACACTTCTCCTCCACCGCCGCCGCGCTGGCGTCGTCGTTTTCGTCTGCGGCGCGTGTTGCGGACTCCGCAGCACGTTCGATCGTGGCGCCGATGGTGGTGGTGAGGAATGGCTCGAAGAGTTGTTTGGTCCGCGGCAGCAGCACGCAGCCGAACTCGCCCTCGCCCAGCGCGGTCAACAGCTCGTGGAAGGGCTTCTGCGTGGCAAAGAAATCCTGGTTGCTCTGGATCGCGTTGAGCGCCGCCACGGAGAAGGTAAAGCCCAGGTGGTGCTGCAGGTCGAGCAGCAGCGACAGCTTACGGATGTGCTCGCGCAAGTCGTAATCCAGCGCCAGCTCCTCGTTGGTCAAGCAATGCCCATATTTCTCTGCCACATCACCGCGGTTAATATATATAAATTCTTATCAATCAATAGGAAAACTTACATATATGTTTGGGAGCCGTACGGTATTTGGCTTGGATGAGCAGCTTGAGCACATGAGCCCAGTAGTTGTTGGACGCTTTGCTTTGGCCGAACACCAGGTCCAAGTACCTGAAGGGACGTGGTTACGGAGCTTAGTGACAGGACAACCAACATTAGGGATTGCAGTAGGGCGGTACTGGATGATGGTGGCCCGATGCGTGACGGGCGGCATGGTGCGCACGGCGGCGCGAATAAAGTTCTTCAGGCAACGCGTGATCATGGAGACGAGCAACAGCGAGGCCTGCCCCTGCTTCGCGTGGGGCAGAAGCGACTTGAGAAGGCCGAGATAGCGCATGTTGATCCCTGGACATTCACTTTGATGGTCAGCATCGACCATGAGCGCACGAGAGCAACACGATCAGAGATGTACCGGCTTCGTGCATCTTGTCTCGCAGCTGCTGCGCGTTCAGCGGAATGATGACACCACCGGACAGGTCCCTCGCAAACCTGACGAACAAGTGTGAGTAAGTAGTGCTCGGCTGTTCGCGTTGTTTTTGTACTACGGTGCATGACGTACTTGGGGATGACCACGGATTGCAGGTGGATCGTGGCCTTGTGCACCTCCTCGTTGTGCTCGGCCGCGTTGTGGCGGCCAAACAGCGTCCATACGTCGCTCGACAGCGGATAGCCCAAGCTCTTCACATATTCTGAGGCGACATGGGTTGAGGCATGAGTGGGTTGTGTGCGGCGTTGTGTCGACACTCGGTGTAGGGTGGTACCGGGCCGTAGCAAGCTGTGGAAGGACTTGCCCTTGAAGCCGCCAAAGTTGAGCAGGGCATGACCGCGCACGATGCACTGGGCCAGGGTCGATGCGCGGTGGTTGACCGGACCCCGACCGCTGTAGACCAGGGTCGCCTCCGAAAACGTGATGCTCTTTGGCTTCTGCTTGGCCTGCACACATCCCGTGGTGCATTGACACGTGTGAACGTGCGCGGTGGTGCGTGTGCGGTGCGTGCGGCGTGTGCGTGTGCGGTGGTGCGCACCTTTTGCTCGGGTGTGAGATCGCTGTAGTCGACGGAGAGGATCTCGAGAAGCTCCTTCTCCCAGTTCTGCACGGTGAGGTCGACCTCGACCACGCGCGGCCGCTCCCTCTCGGACCAGTCGTCCTTGCGTCCCTCCGGCGGCAGCAGCAGCGCCTTGAACGTCACCCACGACGGCTCGGCCGGGAACACTCGCGCCGTGTCTGCAACAATGTTAAATAAATAATAAAGAATACAAATTATTAACGCTTAATAATAAATTAATAAATAAAATGTCTTGGCAGTGCTGACGAACCGACGACGTAGTAGCGGCCGTCGGTGGCGTGATGGCCTTCGATGTCGGTGGGCGCGTAGAGGAACACGGACGACGCGGACACGGGTCCAGCCAGGTGTCCCTTGATGTTGATCTGTCCCGCGGCCGCCTTCATGAGCTTCGACAGGACGGGGTCCTTGTCATGCACCGTGCGACCACCATCTTCACAGTTGATGCCGACAACATCAAACGAGAGAGTGAGACCGAGCTCTGGCATGTGAATGCAACCAATGGGGACGACCACTAACCTGCACTGCCGTAGCAGAGCGTGTTCTTGCCGATGGGCAGCCGGCAGCACGCAATCATACGCCAGCCGCAGTAGTCGATGATGGACATGATAGGAACGCACAGCCGCGGGAGCGTGGGGTCGTCCGGCTTCGCGGTGAAATAGGCCCGCAGCCCCTTGAGCTCGTGACTCGCAGCCTAGCTCGCACATTCGCACAACACCACACACACGCGCCACCGCACACCGAGTCAGCCGCCTGAAATAGATCAATCGCATCCACATAGAGGTTGGCCACCTTGAGGGCATACGCGTTGCCTCCGTAGATGCCGTGGAGGTCGATGGCGAACTTGAAGAAGATGCCCTCGACCATGTACTTCTCACCACCTGCACACGTAGAAGAGGCGAAGGTGCGTGTGCGAGTGGTCGGCAAGAATTGTTGAACAGGGAAGTGGTGCTTTGAGGACGTGGGGGGGGTTAGTACCTGCGATGCCGCCCATGTCGGTCTTGGGCTTGTAGGTCTTCTGGGCGCGAGGGAGGGACATCTCGGAGATGATGGTCTGTGCGATGGTCTCGGCCTTTTGGTTGAACTCCTGCACCAGCCGCCGCAGCTGCGCCAGCAGCGGGAGCTTGGCTTCATGGTCGGTCACCGCCCCCTCCGGTTCTGGTCATCATCCATGTGGGGGTAAGCAACACTGTTGATTTTCTTCGCTATTTTCTTTTCGCGTTTTCCTTTGAGCGCATTATGGCGGGAAGTGGAGCACGTACCGTTGGTGAGGTAGAGGTCGAAGAGGTGCTGCAGCTCCTTGTTCCAGTCCCTCGACTCACTGTCATCTTCCTCCTCTTCCTCTTCTTCTGTATCTGAATCGGAGTCCGCCGAATCGCTCTGGCTGAAATCGACGCTGGAGTCACTCTCCTCCTACACCCAACACAATAACGAGTTAGCGGCACCGTACTCGGACATCAAGTGTTAGGAGGGGCACGAACCGATTCCGACTCAGAAGCTTCAGCTTCACCATCGACCGAACCGTAAGCTGCAGCGGGCACGTCGTCATCGCCTCCTTTCCTCGCTCGTGCCTCCTTCCGCTTGTTGGCGCCGCTTGGCCTCCTCGCCTCCTCCTCACCGGCATCGGCATAGTCGGCGTAGATCGACGCAGGAGTCTCGAGTACGGGCTCTGCCGGCTCGTCGCTGTAGACGCTGTCGCCAGCGTTCCCGGCGCCATCGTTGTCTTCGCCCGCATACGCCCCGTAAAACTTGCCGTAGTCGCGCATCTTCTTCTTGGTCTCGTTCATGCCCCGTGATTCTTCCGCCACTTGCCTGTCGGCGCTGGTTCCGTCCACATCGGCATCGGTGCCCTCCGCGTCGCTATAGTAGGCGCCCATTGGGTTTGAGTAGGCCACGGGCACGTACGGCGATTGCTGGGCGGCTTGGTCCACTGCGCCAGCGCCGCTGGGTTGGGCTTGCGCGGCGGTCTCAGGCGAGATCACCGAGGCGAAGCCGAACTCGTCGGCCAAATCGAGCGTGAGGGACTTGACCCACACGTCCCCGGGCAGCCCGGCGCAGCTCGACTCGTCTATGCACTCCGGATTGCGCGGGTCGTTGTGGTATCTGAATGAGTGCCACGCGCGAAGGCGTCAGCCCACGCCTTGTGCGCCCGCGCAGAAAGGAATGCAGAGAATGCGTACCTCGTCTTCCAGCATGGTGCGCACAGGTGCACCACCTCGTCCACCGGGTTCGGGGTGGGGGTGTGCGGAATAGAGGAGTAGAGGATGCCTTCGATCTGCGAAGCGTTGCAATCGTGGCATCGGTAAGGGTGGTACTTGTACGGGTTGTTGGCCCTGATTAGCTCTGTTCGCCCTTTTGTCAGCCGCACGACACGCCATACGCCACACATCACGCAAACGACAAACACAACGCACACTACACATGAATGTGGACGAACCTATGGGTGCAGCACGCAACAGCTCGTCGACGCTCGCCGTACAGTTTACGAGTGGGAAAGGGATCGTGATGAAGACGTGTTCGCCGTGGTGCATCTCCTTCTGGTTGGCGCTGCACGACTCGCACAGATCGAAGCTCGGACACCGCGCACACCGGTTGAGCGGACCCACGACCGAGCGCCGCGTCGATCTGGAGTGCCCCTTGTGGCACACCGTACAGTGGCTTCCCTTGTGGTAGAGCACCGTCAAGCATCGATAGCCCTCCCCCGCGGGAAAGAACCTAACCAACAATCAGTCAGAGAGGTCGTGGCCCCCCCGAGGCGACAATAGGGAGTGCGCACTTCATGCGCTCCTCGAGGAAGACCACGCGGCAGCTCTGGCCGTGGCCGAGGGACAGGCAGGCGTAGAGCGCGTCGTCGGGGTCGTCGGCCGCCAGGCATACGTCGGTGTAGGCCACGCCCAGCGACGCGCCGTTGTGGTAGAAGGTGACGGTGCCGGCCTCAAGGTCCGCCCCGACGCCGATCACGTCGCCCGCGCTCCAGCGCACGCCGTAGCCAGGCGTTTCGTGGCCGCTGAGCGTCTGCACGCGGTAGCCGTCATAGGCCCACGACACCTTTGCATAGTCACCCACGCCCATACCACGCTATTGGCGGCGCACGCACGCATTCAACACACGACACCCGGACACAGCGCGTGCACGGTTAGGCCTCCTCGGCTACGCACTACCACAATATCAAGGCACACGTGGAAAAAGCGATGACAAAAAAACGAAGACAAAGACAAAGACGCGTAGGGCGGAGAGGTACGGCAGAGTTTGGGGTGAAGGCGTTGGTGGCCCAGCCGATTTGGAAGAGGCCAGGCGTGAGGAGCTCGACTTCGTAGTACCACCGGCCGGCCTTCACCTTCGCCTCGCTGCGGCACGTACCGAAGCTTCTGTCCGCACCCGTCACCACCTACGTAAGGGAGGGAGGAGGAAGAGAGGGGGGGTCACAACATGGTGGTGGGCAAGTGAGCCGGCAAAGGTGCAGAGGGGAGAGGTGGTCGCATGTTATGTACCGAGTCGTCCTCCTCGCTGAACTCGAGGTCGCGCGAAAGAGGCACCAGCCGGCAGCCCCGCCAGCCTTGCCCGTCCTGGTCTGCTCCTGCGACCCTCTCCTGCTCCATCACTCGTCGGTAAGTGTTGCGGTCAAGCAGGTTCAGCACAGAAACAATATTGCCCAATTCCATTTTAATAGAAATAATGAAATTAAAATATGGCAGAAATTCCTGGTATTCTTGGAACCTACATAAAGAAAATACAATATTATTTCGGTCTCTTCTTGTCCGTCGCACGGAAGATCAGCTTTTGCAGAGGATTAACAGATGGAGACGGACGGCGTAGGCGGGGCTACCACCACATGCCGCCTGGTGCAGGCAGGGCGCAGCGATACCGCCTTGCCCGCCGGAGAGGTACCAGTCTCGCGCTCCAACCCCCCCCCATCCCGACCACCGTCCGTCGCATGGGAGCTCACGCAACGTTGGAAGGTGGTGGAGCTGGGCCGCACCTGGCTCGGGCAGCAGTACACGCGGTGCTCGCGGGTGCATGTTGAGCTCCGCTACGACCCCGACGCCCGCCTGCTGCACCTCACCGCTGTGCGTTCCTTCCCTCTCAGTCCCTTTCATTTCCATTCCTCAACTCAGTTGTATCTCGCACCGCACACGACACGACACGACACGACCAACGACACGACACGACACGACATGACACACGCACCACTGTAGCGTGGATCGAATCCGGTGGTGGTGGAGCACGTGGAGAGTGGTGCGAAGCATGGGAAGAAGGTGCTGCTGACCAAGGGCGAGAAGGCCGCGCTGAAGCAGGCCGACGCGCTCTATTTGGTGCCGCAGGACGACACGACGCGCTTCGTCGTCCACATGCCCCCGCCGGCGCCCCAGAAGCAGACCACCTCGGCCGCAGCCGCAGCCGCCGCGCCCGTCGCCGGTTCGCAGGAGAGCAGTCAGGCGTCGTGGCCGGACATCGCCGATGCGTTGCCGCTCAAGGCCATGGCCGCGACCAGTAGCAGCAGCTCCGCTTCGGCCGGCAAGAAGCGCAAGGAGCCGTCTTCTGATGATGACGCTGATGACGTCAGCAAGATGACGACGATAAAGAAGACGACGACGAAGACAACGAAGACGACGATGAAGAAGCCAAAGGGCAAGGACGACGATGATGAAGAAGAAGAGGAGCGGCCCAGGAAGAAGCCGCGCTGCAAGTACGGCAGCGAGTGCTACCGCAAGTCCAAGGAGCACAAGCAACAGTTCTCCCACTCTCCGCCCGGTTCGCCGCAACGCCAGGTACGTACCTTCCGCTGACACCTCCGTTCGTCGATCATCCCAGCACTCATTCACGCATGTGCGTGTGCGGTGGTGAGCAGGAAGAAGAAGAAGCTGAAGAAAGAGAGGAGGAAGAAGAGGAAGAAGAGGAAGAGATTGTGGAGAAGAAGAAGAAGCCGAGCGCCAAGAAGGCTAGTAAGACGGACGCCGGCAAGGAGAAGCAGAAGACGAGCGGCGGCGGCGGCTCGTTGGCAGGTAAGACGGTGGTGCTGACGGGCGCGCTGAGCACCAGGCGCACGGACATGGTGCGGCTCCTCAAGCAGGCCGGCGCCAAGATCGGCTCCGGGGTCAGCAAAAACACCGACATCCTCGTCGCCGGCGACAAGGTATACCCCGCGCCCTCCCTCCCTCCCCGTAGGACCTGAATGTGTGTGCGCGCGCGCGGTCATGATTGAGTGTGCGCACGCGCCTATGTCTGACTCGTTTCGTAAACAACAGCCGGGGAGCAAGCTCACCAAGGCCGAAGCCCTGGGTGTGGCCGTATGGCAAGAGGAAAAGGTAACACACGACACACACGCCGATACACGACACACCAGACTGGGCTGGTTGCAGTCATGCGATTAGTCCCCGTGTGCTCATGCGTACGACCGCGCGCCTGCTCGCTCTCCTCAGCTGCTGAAGGAGCTGAAGAAAGCCGGCATCGACGAGGACGCGGTGGGCGAGGCGGGCGAGGCCGAGGATGCCGTACCCGACGTGCAGCTGCTGTTGGCCAACAAGTGGACGCCCGGCACCAACCCCACCGGGTGGTGGATGAGCGAGTGTCGCGACTGGGCAACAAGTTCGAAGCCCCGGACTGGTTCCTCGAGGGCCTGCCCTCGAGCTCGATGCCGCTCGACGGCGAGCTGTGGAAAGGCCGGGGCATGTTCCAGAGCGCCGTGGGCATCGTCAAGTCCAAGGGCAAGACCGACAAATGGAAGGAGCTCACCTTCCAGGGTACCTTCCTTTCTTCTTAATTTATTTATTTATTTTGTCCGATCGCCCACGTGTCTCACGCACACACGTCATCGCACACGCTCAGTGTTCGACGCACCGGGCATGCTGACGGAACCGTTCGAGGCGCGGATGGCGGCCATCAAGCGGTGGTTCGACAAGAAGGGCGACGAGGGCGCGCCCTATGCACGGATGGTGGTGCACACCAAGTGCAAGGGCGAGGACCACCTCGTCGCCGAGCTGGCCCGCATAGAAAAGCGCGGTGGCGAGGGCGTCATGCTGCGTCAGCCCGGTTCGCGCTACGTCGGAGCTCGGTACTTACCGCACGCTTGCCCATACATGCACGCTCGTCTCGTGCCTCAAACGCAACACACCCAACACCCAACAGATCGAGCACGCTGCTCAAGGTGAAGACCTTCCACGACGCGGAGGCGCGCGTGATCGGCCACACCAAGCTGGCCCCGGCACCGGGAGCCGTCAGCAAGATGAAGGTGGGCACTCTTCGCTGCGAGATGGCCAACGGGACTCAGTTCAGCGTCGGCACCGGGTATCATCACCAACGCTTGCCACCACCACCCAACGTTGTCCCCACCACTTAACGTTGCGTTTCCACTGAACTTGCGCGTTCTTGTCGTGTGCGGTGTGTGCGGTGTGTGTGGTGTGTGCGGTGTGTGCGGTGTGTGTCTGCGCGACCAGATTTTCCGATTACCAGCGGGAGAACCCGCCACCCATCGGGGCCATCATCACGTACCGCTTCCAGGAGCTCAGCAAGGACGGCGTCCCTCGCTTCCCCTCCTACGTCGGTACCGTCTCTTTCCCACGTTCCCCGCCCACTCGCCGCGCGCAACTCACCGCTCTCTTACAACCGCAGGCGAGCGGGCGGACATGACCGAACCCAAGGACCCCGACCCATCACTGATGGCCGGCGCCAATAAGGACGCCTGACAATGATGAGGCTTCGTGGGCTTTTGTGTGAAATGTTTATTTTCTTTCTCTTCTATGGTGCTAATAGTACTTACGAACGGGGCTGACTACTGGTGGAAGGCCTTGAGAATTTCGAGGAGGGAGATGACGCCGATGGGCTTGCCGCCCTGGCTCTCGTCGACGACGTAGACGCGGTGGATGTGGTTGGAGACCAGCTTGTCCAGCACTTGGCCGAAGCTGGTGCGCGGCGCGACGGTGATGGCGCCGACGCCCTCCGGCCGCGTCTCCTTGACGAACTCGCTCACGGGCACGAAGAGCCGGGCGAGCAGCTTGCCGTCGTAGCCGATGGCCTTAAGGTCCGACGCGCTCACATTGCCCACCAGCCTGCCCTCGGCGTTGACCACGCCCACGGCGCTCACGCCGCGCTCGTGAATGAGGCGGAAGGCGGCGATGGCCTCCTCGTCCTCGCGCACGGTGATCACGTCGGCGAGCCCAGCTTGAGCTGCTCGACGGTCGAGTCGGCCAGCTGCTCGAATCGCGCGATCCACTTGTAGATGAGGCGCGCCACGTGCGACTGAGTCACGATGGTGATCAGCTCGCCCGAGGTGTCAACCACCGGCACGCGGTGCACGCGCCAGTTGACCATCATGTCGATCGCGCTCGTCACCGGCGCACGCTGGTCCACCGGGTTGTACGGGTTGCGCTTCGACAGGTCTTTTTTTTTTTTTTTTGCACACGCGGCACGACACGACACGCACACATACGACCATGAGGTTATGTCCGAGTGTGCGGGAATGTGCGACAGCGCAGCGCGGCGGAGGTGGCCGGTACCGACGATGGAACCGCAGGGCTCGTTGGCGAACTTGTCGGAGGAGGCGAGGAGCTGGTCAAAGTCGGCGGTGTCGAGCTCGCTCTTGGGGATGCTGAGCACGCTGAGGGCGTGGTGCACGAGGTCGACCATGTCCAAGAAGCCCACCCACTTGTGCGTCTTCGTGTTGAGCACGGGCACCGACAAGATCTTGTTCTCCACCAGCGTCTACAAATCACGATTAATTAATCATTGGCCATCAAGAACGTAGATCCCGCTCAAAAACAGTAATGAAGTCTAATTCTTTATGTTAAGTTAATTGATTGGCAGCGTATACGCTGTAGGGGTACCACGTTGCCGGGGGGGGGGAAGCACCTTGAAGACCTGGGCGATGGGGGTGTCGGTGGTGACCGAGAAAATGCGCCCGTGTTCCTCGGGGAACAGCTGACGCACCTCGGTGTTGTGGAAAAGCTCGGTGGCCGCGCTACGGTAGGTGTCCGCCATTGTCGAATTGACTTGAATTACACTCGGATGAAGGTTGAGGTCCGACCCAGGCTATACTGCTGCAGGCGCGGCTTGAGATGCTTGAGGAAGGCTCACCACCGTTTTCGATTCTTGCGGACGAGCGATTCTATATTCCGATCGAGTTTCCGTTGAAATATCGATGCACCAAATTCCGCTTTTATCCTGGCACATGTCTTGGATGTCCGCAAAAAACAAGCAAAAGGAAAATCAAATTTTTCGACGTCGTGGCAGATCGGAGTCGGTGGCACAGAGCAGCCAGGCCTGACGCGTGCCCAGATCGACCCCAATGCAGGTGAAGTCCCACGCCACGTCAAGGAACCACCCGCACCAGGGCCGAGTTGAAGTGAAGATGAGCTGCTCACCAGTGCGTGAGCCAAAGAGATCATTGCAGGCTCGCTGGCCGATGCGAATGGCCTCGTCTCGGCCCTCCTCCCACGAAGTGTAGGCGCCGTGCCACTGAAGCTGATCTGCAAAGCAGTCGGCGAGTTCGTTGGACGGACACTCAACCCACTCAGGCGCTTCGATCGGGTCCTCCATCAGATAGCAGTTACCCTCCTTGACCTGGTGCGCGGTGGTGATTGGTCATCCTTGGTGTTGTGTCATCAATGTGTGGTGTGGTGGGGGCAGAGGAACAGACCTCGGGGAGAGCGGCGAGGAGAACGTTGGAGGCCAGCAAGTGCTCGAGCAGCTTGATCTCGTGCACTCGCCCGCGCCTGACGAACCAGTCAAGCCGCGCATCACTCAACGCCGCCAGCCGCGCGAATAACACGCCCCCGTTGAGGTACAGTTGTCCCATGCGCCTCATCAGCTCACGCGGCACAGCCTTCCCCTCCTTCACGTGTTCTTCTTCTTCTTCCCACGTGTAGCGGGAGACGACAAGCGGAGCGAAGACGGGCTCCCGGTCCCACCCTTCGATGGAGGGCTCCCCCTGGTCAGGGTCGTGCACGAACCTCGTCCGCTGGGCGTGCTGGATGCCGGCGGTCTGCTGGGCCGCCTTCTCCTCAGTCTTGGAGCCCAAAGCCCGCAGGGTTGCCCACCGACTACACGCGCCCGTGAGGCGCGTTGTGGCGGTGCCGGTCCTGCTGGTGGTGCTCGAGGAGGCCACCAGGGCCGCGGCGGGAAGTCGTGCGGGTCCAGGCGGCGGAGCGGGCGAGGCATAGTTGGCGACGCGCGTGTTGGAGGAAGAGCGAGGCCAAGGGGCTCGGGCAGCAGCGGAGGTAAGGCTCGTGCCTGCGAGTATGCGACCGCGCCACTGCCTCATCGTCTTCATGACACCGGTTCTGTTAGGGTCGTGTTCGTCCCTTGCGCAGCCTTTTCAGTTCAGCCTTGAAAAAGCCAGCACGGCGTGCTCATTGGTTGTCTAATTAATCGCCCCCACAGAGGACAGAAAAAAAAAGGCGTTTGTCGTGCGAAAAACGGTTCCAATTGCTCAATACACCGAGCGAGATGCGACTCACTGTGCACTGCAAAATGAGCGATTTAGAGGGCCTAGGACCATTGCCAGAGTGTATCGTTAAAAATACACTGGCAAAAAACAAGAACCGGTTTCTGCCTAGGTTGGGCACCCAAACCGGTTTCTCCCTCGCGTGCTGGTTTGTAACTAGTGCCACTGGTCTCAACCTAGATGCGATCTGGGTTGAAAGCAGTTCAGGTTTCGGGCTGGTTTTCGGCCCAGGGCGGTGCCAAGTGGGAAGTGGGTTATTGTCGAGTGGTAGCTGGGTGGCGTTGGTGGTTGGCGCTGGCGATGGCGTGTCGATGATGGTCGGCAGTGATGGTAGGCGGCGGCGGGCGGTCGGCGGTGGCGGTCGGAGGCGGTGATGGTCATTGATGGTCGGCGGCGATGGTCAGTGACGATGGCAGTTGTAGATGGTCAGCGGCGATGGTCAGCGGCGGTGATGGTCGGCGATGATCGGCGGCGATGATTGCGATGGCGTGGTAGGCGGTGAGGATTGGCGTTGGTGGTTGGCAATTGTCGGCGGTGGTCGGCGGTGGTGGTCGATGGTGGTCGATGGTTGGAGGCGATGGCGGTCAGCGATGGTTGGCGGTGGTGGTCGGCGTTGGAGGTCAAGGCCTTGTCATCACCCCTGCAAGCAAACGCGGTTAGAAAAAAAGAGATAAGATCTGCGAGCCACAGCACAAGGTCCGTAAGTTTTTGAGGCAGCAGAGGAAGGCGGTCTTGAGCTTGCGTGCGCTGGGTACCTTGTCCCAGGAGAACATCACCCCTTGCTTGTGCGCCTCACTCACGAAGCCCTTGCCCGCCGATCTGGCCAGCGTTTTAATCGCCTGCATGACGCCATCGTTGCCCATGCTGCACAGAGTTGGGGGCAACATGGCTCTATGAGAACCTGGTGTGGGTTCTTCTGCTTGGTCATCCCGACCTCGAAGATGTGGGAGTCCTTGCTGGCACTGCATCCCTTGGACAGTGTAGGCTTGGCCTTCTTTGCCAGTCTGCCAGACTGCTTGCCCATCACTCTCTTCCTTGTGGTGATGTGTGCACCACTCATACCCTCACTGGAAATATTGCAACTGCAGGACATGTGAACCAACAGAGATCATTACCCCACCCCCCACATTTTTCCATTTGTTCTAATTTCATCATTCTCTGCACAAGATGTGCATGATTCACCTTCAAGATGTCCAAGAGAACAGACCAACCCACATGATTGTGCAACCTGTGCAAAGGGGAAATGTCCCATCGCCATGCAGCACAGCACTACATGACTGTTCAACACAAAGCAGCAGAGGCAAGACTTGCAGGTGCGCCTCTGCCTCACCACCCTTGCTGTGCTACCCTTGCTGCCCTTGCCATCACTCTTCCCCTTGCTGCCCTCACCACCCTCATTGCCCTCACTGCCCTCACTACACTTGCAGTGCTTGCTGCCCTTGCCACCCTCACTACGCTTGCAGTGCTTGCCACCCTTGCCACCCTCACCACTTGCTCTCTTTCACTAACATGGTGTCCTAGCATACTGGGTGCAAGGCAGCAAGCACAGCTTTGAGGGTGGCAAGGGCAACAGTGCCAAGGGCAGTGAGGGCATCACAGCCAGGGTGAGAGTGATGGTGAGGACAGTGAAGGTGATGAGGGCAAATGTGGGCTGGTGGGCTTGACCAACATCCAATTGCAGTGCTTGGCTTGGTTGATCATGGCCTTGTCTTCATTGTCAATTTTGTCCTCTGGGACAAGTGCATGTGTGACAATAAGCGAGAAAAAGAAACGGAAACATATCTCTGTGAAATTGGAAGAAGAAAAACTGAAAATTGATGAGCAAATTCGTCGGCCAATCGTCTTTCGATTTGGCTGTCGCCTGTCAGGCTGACAGCGGAGCCGTCACGTGACAGGGCGCCTTGTGCCGGAGAAGCAACCACGAGTGCGCTGGACGAGAGACCATAAGACGAAGTGGACCAGAGCGCGAGAAGAGGATGCAACAACAAGGAGAGGGTTGCAGTGGCGCCCCACATTGCATGCAGAACCGCACTTTCCCTTCTTCCGGGTTCTCCAGTGGCACACAGACCAACAACAGCAAGAAGCTCAACCAACGTCACCACCACCCCGCCGCTCACAAGCCGCAGCCAGCAGCGAGCCTGTTTGGAGGCGGCTACGCGACCAACCCGCAGTACATGTGGCGATCGGCCGCCGGATCACACCAGCTGGCACCCAACTCCAAGCGACGCTCCATGGACGCCAAGGAGGCGTTCGGACTCGACGGCAGCCTGCCCTCGCAACCCGTGGTGCCGCCGCTCGGCGGTGCCATCAACAATAACATCAACATCAGCATCAACAACACCAACAACGTTGGGCCCGGCACCGGACGACGCAGCAGCCTGCCGGGCGTGATGCCTTCATCGACGGGCGGGCTGGGTGCCTACCCCCTGCCAATCTCCCCGCTGTCCGCCGGTGGCGGGGCTGGGGCCACCGCCACCAGCGCCGCGGCCAAAAAGAAGAAGAGCGGCATCAGCGGCAAGCTGCAGCATACGCCCGAGCAGAAGGAGGCGGGCAAGGGCCGGTGGATCGTGGTGATGTCGCGGTGCATCGTGCTGTTCTTCTTCACGTTCTGCCTCGGGCTGAGCATGGCCGAGGAGCGCTTCGGGGTGCTCTCGCGCCTGGGATGCGTGTTCGCCCCGGAGAGCAACGCCGCGAGCCTGCGGCAGATGGACAAGTACATCCTGGCCGTCGTGGTGAGCTTCGGCATGAGCTTCGTGATCGACTTCCTCGGCGCCCTGTACAGCGTGTCGCGCGAGAAGCGCCTGCTCTACACGCTCTCGTCGTCGGTCCACCTCCTCGGCGGCACCACCAAGGTGCTGCTCTACCTGCGCGCCCTCCCCGTGCTGGTCGACTTTGCCGGCCGCCCGCTCTACATGGTTCACTACCTCCAGTGGTACCCACCCTTCGCCATCTTCTCCTTCTTCTCTTACCACCTTCTCCGTGGACTACACGTTACACGCCACACCCGCACCACCAAGCTTCTCTTGTCCTCCACTTACCCGCCTGTTTTCGCTTCCTTCTTTCCTTCTTCCTTTCCGGCCCCATTTACGCTTTTTATTTGCTATTTTCAATTTCTTTTTATTCCTGTTTTTATTTTTGTGGTCTTTATTTATTGTGACATGTGTGTGTGTGTGGTGTACAGGTCGTGCACGACCCCGATGCTGATCCTGCTGATCGGCCGTCTGTCGCTGGCGTCGCGGAAGAAGCTGCTGCTGGTGATGGTGCTCGACGTGCTGACGATGGTCACGGGCTTCTTCTCCTCGTTCTGCTTCAACGTCGTGTTCGTCCTCTTCTGGGGCACGCTCTCCTTCGTCTTCTTCTTCATGGTGCTCTACGGCGTGCACCACTTCATCCAGCTGGCCATCGCCCACTACCCCTCCAAGGAGCGCTCCTTCAACGGCCTCTTTGCCGTCACCGCCACCTGCTGGTCCGGTACAGTCGCCTCACCACCATTGGCCTATGGTCTTGAAGGTGTCACTGACTCACCACCATCATCATCAATTGCATGGCACTGCGCAGTGTTTCCGATCATCTGGCTGCTGGGCGCGTTCGACCTGGTCAATCCCGACATCGAGCTCTACGCCTATCTCACCATCGACGTGTCGGTCAAGGTCGTCTTCTCCGTGTTCCTGCGGCAGATCACCCTGTCGTCCATCGAACACCGTGAGGTGCAGGAGTACGAGAAGTTCAAGGTTAGTCCACCACCTCCTCCGCCATTAGCAGTTTGCCTTCCGTACCACGCTTTTTCCACCATCGGTCATGATCATCATCGCATCTGCATAGCCATCATCATCCTATATTTGTCCAATATTTAGATGTCCTTATATATCGCTATTTCGTATATATCAAGGAGGTGAGTAAACTTGAATTCATTCGAGCGACGGCGATAGCGCTAAGCTTACAGGTACCGACCCTACATCAAATTGTGCCCGCAGCGGGGGTGGTCCGCCGGCGCTTCTGTTGCTTTCCAAATTATTGAGCTTTTCGGCTCCGTTCTGTAGTTGATTCCGCAGAACTGGTTTGTGTCTTTTGTTTTGATCAACTCGAGCACTCGCGGTTTGCTGAGTTTACCCGCTCACAGATCAAGTTGCTCACGATCCTCTCTCGATCTTCTCTCGCCCACCAACCAACAGGAGGCCAAGGAGCAGGCCGAATCCCTGGCCGAGTTGCACCGACAGTTCCTATCGAACATGAGCCACGAGATTCGCACTCCTCTCAAGTACGTCTTCTTCTCCGCGTTCCTGTTGTCGAGCGCGTTCCCATCGGGCCAATTGCGGTTGCAACCGGGATGCATTAAGGCTTACCCTCATTGGCTCTATGTCCGCAGCTCCGTCATCGGGTTCAGCGGTCTCCTCATGGAGACGA